ATGCAAATGTACCTATTTAGTATAAATTTCAGCTAGTAGGATGAATGTTAAACTCTTCTCTTTATTTACAAGTGTAATTTATCATTTGAAATCTGACTCAATCTTCAAAATTTAGAATGTTACCTAAAGTATGTTTGTCAAAATTGTTTGTAATAATAGTCGATAAACCATTGTCTTCATTGATCTCTGTTATTTGATTTTGTTCTATTTGAAAATTATTTCGTCTCAATTTTATTGATTTTAAATTTAAATTTTTTGAAAATAAATATGACGGTAAATTTGTTAATTGACAATTTTCCAGGTCTAAAAATTCCAATCTTATCAATGGATAAAATAATGGTTGTTTGATACTCATCTTTCCCAGTGGATTATTCATTAATATTAATATTTTTAAATTTTTTAATCCTTTAAGTGATCCCTCATCAATAATAAACATTTGATTATCCGATAAATCGATAGTCGATAATTTTCTCATACGAGAAAAGACGGCATACGGTAAATATTCTATTTGATTTTTTCGCAATATTAATGATTCTAAACGACGAAGTCCAATGAAATTTGTTGCCGATATTTCTTTTAAATAATTCATGCTAAAGTCAAGAATTTTTAATCGTTTTAAATAGTGTAAAAAATATGCATTATTAAGTGTATGAAAATAATTTCGTTGAAAATTTAATTGTAAGAGTTGAGTGCGTATTGGATAAAATATTTTTTCCGTTAAATAAGATAGATGATTTGCTGATAGTATCAATGTTTCTAATTGTGTAAAATTTTCGAATGTTTCAGAATCAATCGATTCAATTGATAGACCATGTAAATCTAAAAGATTTAAATTAAATAAGTTAATAGTTGAATTTAAACGAGATGATAGAATAGACGGTGTCAGATGTTTCAGTTGTAGTTGAGGACGATAAAATCGATTGATAAACGAATGATGAGATTTATAAGAGATATAATTTGGTTGATGGCGATAGTGTTGGAATGTTCGATTAGAGAAACCTAAATGAAAATAAATCTTATAATATATGGATTAGTGAAGCAGCGTATCGTCTAATAAGTATAGACAGAAACTCGGAAAGGGTTCAGAGTAAAATAATTTTTCCATGAAGTTTTGAACTCATGGACTCGAAACAAAAAATTTAGTCCCACTCGACTCCAAATCCGAATCGAAACTGGAAGAAGGACGAATAGCTCGCCTTGCGGCTATCATTATCCGTGTAGGGCAGTCCGATATCTCCCTGCAGTTGACAACTTTTAAAATGATCACCCAAAATCAATTGATTTTCAGTGATTCTTTCTGATTCTCTGTGATTTCCAATGACTTCGAGTCATTTCTGGTGGCTTTTCATTTGGTGAAAATCAGAAAGATCCAAAAATCAGCTGTTTCGCCCTTGCTTGGATCACTCGTCTGACAGCA